CAAATTTCCTCACTACCTTCAATGGGCCATTTCTCCTTAACACTCGTACCCAGAAAAAAACCACATAAGATTATCTCGCGCCTTTGCCTATGAATTCTCCACGTTTGTTTGCCATATTTCATGGATCTGGGGTATACAATGAAATGAGTAATGCACGTTAGGGTTCTAAAAAAATGCAACCAAACTCCACTAATTGCCCCCCCCCCTTTCATAGTGGTCACATTTACCATAAATGCACACCTTCAGCCAAGTCTCAGTTCATCCGGATGAAGCGCGACGTGACGGAACGGACGGATTATTCGAAATCCCCAGTCAATATAACAAAGAGAGTGTCCGCCGAGGGCATCGCTCTCAAAGGGTGCACACAGTCAGGATATAGGACGGGTTCTCCGCTTGCAGAACAAGAACGGCAGCTGACCGACACTGCAGCTCCAATTCCACATAATCTACGCTGCCGCACGAACATGCCGGCCACCAAGCGCGGAAAATTCGCTCGCCGGCTTGACGGCACATAGCCTGTCTGAGTGATACCTACAAAAGATGCTCCATTAGAATACCTTGCCCAGGAATTCCGAGAAATCGGATATATAAGGTGGTGCATGCTCGAACTGAATAACAAAGTACGAACTACAAAACCAGGAACGCGCAGTGGTCAGCAGAGCAGATTGCCAAAAATCAAATGTGAGGCAAACTGGAATATTTTCATGCCCAAAAAAGGGGACAACTTGGTGGAAAAACCTTTTTCTCTTGACAGTCACACTTAATTTGTTTCTTCTGAAATCAAGTGGGTGCACAAACGCCAAAATACCTACTACCAGGCAGATCTAGAAGATCTAGGGGCGCTTTTGTGGGACGATGTCTAGCGAGGATATGTCACACCCGTGCTAGCGTGCACATGCTGAACTTATAAGGTGCAATCATATCAAAAGTGAAAAATAGGTGAAAATTCCTTACAATTGCGGCATTTGGCTTCATTCGCACACGGTTGCAGCTCAAAATCACTCCCGAAGCATGGTTGTCCTCCTTGTGATGGGCGCGGTTTAGAGCAGTACCTTAAAAAGAGTTGTTAAACAGAAACGGCCGTTTGAGTGTTTCTAGGGCAAAGGGTCTGCACAGTGTAGTTGAGCCCTCTGAAGTGAGGTCCCGGCTGGATTTTGAACACATTGTAGGTCTCCAACTTTTAGAGTTTCCGGGGAAAACGAAAAAAACAGGAAGAGAGCGAAACCGGCCTTGTACGACTTCGGTGTGCATTCACGCAGGAATCACCACAATCGCTCCATTCGGTCCATTCGCTCCAGCCGCCATCAACTCGAGGGCCACAAGGTGTTGACGATGTGCATGGGCGCTGATCGAATGAGTAGCCGACACAGTACGACCCTCTAAAATGGTGTGTCCTTCTGAAAACGTGCTAGAACAATTTAGATCGTTTTTGAAGAAGTGTAGGTTTAGTTAGCCTCGAATTATCGGATTTCTCTTCTCAAGCAGAATCGCTTGCAATCGCTTGGGAGCCTAGAACCGCGGAGAAAATGATTACGCTGGTATAGGGCTCGAAACGATGAATTTCAGACCCGTTCTAGTATAAAAACTCAAGCAATAATTTGTCATTCCTACACCAAGCAGCAGGAATGGGCGGGGCTAGTGGGGGCGCGCCAGTACCGCCCACCTCCTGCTGCATAAAAAGCACAGGTGCTCTTTTTTCATCTAGTTCTCTGCTGATTTGGCCTTTCTAATTATTTACTGTTTAGTATCATCACCTTTCAAGAATCATTCAAAAAAAGCACCTGTTAGATGGAAGTGGTTCGGAGCACATCCGATTACGAATTTGATGGCCAGTTCCCTGACAATCTTTCGAACATAGAGACCACTCTGACCATGACGACCATCCACCAGGGGAAGGAGCACACGACTGAATAAACAACTCGTTAACTAGTAAGTATTCTGTAACTAGTACAATTAACTATTCAATGCAAGAAAGAAAACGACTGATTGGCAATGCATATACCCTTGCTGAACATTGCCGTTGATCGAGTATGGCCCCCGTGCAAAAGCCTTGAACGGCCGGATCCGAAACTTGGCAGAACCGTCGTCTGCTTTCCATGAGGGTGAAGCATGAGCACGATGACCACGACGACCATTCGGACCATCTTGGGACTAAAAATCAATGGGCCAGGGTGGTACTAGACTTTCCGATAGTCTCCAACTGGTAAAAAAGTAATGAGTTCCCGATAAACTAACGGCTTAGGGCACGGTTGGTGTTCGACGACTCGCAAGATACCTCGGCCGAGCATGCTCGCGTTTGTGACGGTTCGCCCTCACACTGAACGGAAGAAGTTCTTACTAAAGTACATTACACATAAATAATCATACAACTTATAACTTTTACATTCACTAAATGATTTTCAAACTTCAAAAGAGTCCTCAAACCTGGAATAAGAAAGACCGGAGACAGGTGCGCCGCCTTGACTGCACCCCACCGTCTCCGCATGTAACGGAGCAGGGCGTCCATGTTGTCCAAGGAGACCAGTACATTTCTAAATGTAGTCTGTTCAGAATTGAACTGAAAAACTCATAATTCAGCTAGCACTACCGATCGGGCATGGTTGTTCGTTACACTTTTCCTTGACAGATTCGAGAGGCTGTGGTGGGCATTTATGACCAATACAGACTCTGGTCCTATAAAATGGATCGATACAGGTGATTGAGCTGATAGCAATGAAGAATAGATGTTCTGGGGAAAGATCACAGAGACAAAAACCCCTATAATGTTGTTTAAATAAGGAGAAGAGTTGGGCAGGAGTTGTATCAGAAAGGCTTCTATCACAGGCTTCTCATTAGAAGAGCTAAATTACTGGTTAGCTAGTTGTTAGGTAGCCAACCAAAAAAGAGAGAGTTCAAGAAAAAATACTCCCCACTTGGGACACCCAGATGGAGAATTTCACCCCAACAGTGCTCTCGTTCTATAAAAATTGTCAAATTAATGTAATCTCATATTTTTTTAGTTCTATAAAAGTTATGAGAGTTCTAAATCAGTGGGTGAGTTCCTCCATGAAGCTGAAGTAGTGAGCCACTCACGCCTTTTCAGCGCTTGACTAAATGAAATCAACTCTGGAGCCGCTCGAAAGCTAAAGGGCATGGACAAGTTGTCTGGTGCGAAAGGAGCTGCTTTAGTAATATACATAGGAATGATGCGTTACCTTTTTCTTCGACCAGTTCCACAGGTTTGGGAGCATTGTGTCCATTCCATCCATTCTCCCCAGGTTTCATCCGTGACTGGGACTATACGACCGCCATGAGCAACAACCTACAACCACAACACTTTATGAAAGAGTCCCACTGCATTGGTTATAAGAGTAATCCGTTGTTCAGAAAGCTAACAGGCTTGAAGAATACCAAAAGCAAAGGTCATTAAAATATATCGATTAGGAGACACGACCAACCTCCAGATGATCTAAGGCAATGACCAATGGGCGGTACTTTTGCGGAGTACCGTCCATTGGTCATTGCCCATTGTGGTTGAAAGTCCGAAGGGTTCTGAAAGCCACGCCCACCCGCCTGATTTGTTCGTCGCCTCGAGAGGTCAAGTAGAACATATTATCAGCCTTGACCCGTTAGCCTTAGCACAGGTGAATTTAAAAAAATTTTGGGCCCAAGCATGAAACCTTCGAAATCATCCTCATGATTATTTATTTCTAAAAAGCAACACCACTTAGTGATAAGTTGACGGGAGGTGAAAAAAGATAAGTTAGTAATAGTA